CTAATGTAACAGTCACAGATGTGCTAATATAGGAGGTGGAAATAGCACTAAATAGAATAAATAAGGGAAAGGCAGCTAGAAGGGAGCAAGTATATAAAGAGGAAATCCATGTTGGAAGTGAAACCATTATGAGAGAATTGTGAGAATAAAATACAAGGAGCCTGAAGGAGGGGAATATATCAAGGGCATGAAAAGAAAACTCAGACTTTATTAAGATTGAAATATATAATGAAGAACTATCAATAATAATCAACCTATATGCTTGCTCTTCAATCTATAAAAGTCATTATGAAAGTCATCTATCAATGAATCAAGAGTATCCTTTATGAAGGTGTTAAGTGGGAACAATAAGGCTTTCCTCAAGTGATATTCTACAATGGACTTTATCTTTATCATTTCACAATTAACTGAAAGATGTAGAGAATATAAGATCCCATTGTGCATATTGTTTGTTCATTATGAAAAAGCATTTCTTTCAATAGAACAAAACTTTAACCCTTATAAGACTCTTTTACAAGGTGTCTCTCATCCATACTTGAAGATTATTCAAAATTCTTGAAAGATGTAACAATAGAAATAACCCTGTTAAATAGTCCTTTGATAAGAAACATCAGGTGAATCATAAAACAGGAAATTGTATACTCAACAAAGGTATTTATTTCAGCTCAGTAGTGTTCTTATGACAATTAGAGAATCTACCTTTGAAGATCAGTATGGTTCCCAACTTGTCTGATTGACAAATTAATTATATTGTCCCTCTTCCCCCATCTCAGGGCAAGAAGTTTGCCATTACTGCAAATATTACATAATTGTGTCCCTCTGGGATCTACTTCTGACTCTCTGAACTTCTTTTTCCACCATAACCCAAAAGCCTATCCTGGAAGATCACTCCACCCCTGCAGGCCCATCTTTTGATTAGTCAATCTCTCTAGGAACCTCCTTTTCAGGAAAGTTAAGGCCAGCCATGTTCATGCCTTCATTCCTCTCTGGGCTCTCCTTCATTCCACCTCCTACTCTCCCCTCCTCCCATTCCACCTCCAACTTTTCAGCTTCCTTTTAAACATTAGCTTTCCTCATTAAAATGTTAAGTCCCTTTAAGGTAGAGCCTGACTCTTTCTTATTGTGTTTGTATTTCCAGCACCCTGGACAGTACCTGACACATAATACACACTTATTTTTTTTTTTTTAAGAAGCAGCTAAATGACTCAGTGGATAGAATGATGGGCCTGGAGTCAGGAAGACCTAAGTTCAAATACAGCCTCAGATACTTATTTGCTGTGTGACCCTAGGAAAGTCACTTAATGTCTCAGCCTCAGTTTCCTCATCTGTAAAATAAGGATAATAATAACACCTACCTCACAGGATTGTTGTGAGGATCAAATGAGAAAACATGTAAAGAACACTGCAAATCTTAAAGTGCTATATAAATGCTAGCTATTATTTTTTTACTTGATTATACAGGATATAACGTTGCAGTACCAGTTAATTCTGCTGCCATAGTGACCACCATCAAAGCCCAGACAAAACATATCTCTCTTCCTCATGGGCCCCAATGTCTCTAACCAGGACACCCATTTTACTACAAAGCAGGGTCAGAATTGGGCCCCCCATCACATTTGCTGGGTTTTCTATATCCTATAACATCCTCAGGCAGTTGGCATTGTTGAACATTGAAATGGAATTTTAAAACAATAGCTTTGTCATCATAACCCTCATTATCAGCATCTGGTATCCCATCTCCCAGAATTTTTGATAAATCAGTACTACTACCCTAAGAAGGATGAAGGCTTACAATTCTAGCCATTCCTTGGATCCAGCCTCCAGAAAGATTGGTCTGATAAAGATAAATGACTTAAATCTAATCCCAATGGACTTTTTCCAGTGCTTTCTCTTTCTGAACCCCACAAGTCTTCTAGGTCTGACAGTTTTCACTCCTCTCAGAAGGATCTATACAATCTGGAAAAAATGATTCAGGTCTCCCTTAATCTCCCTTAATCTGGACAACTCCTTTCTAGAAAGAGTCTGAGGGATCAAGGGATTAAAATATAGGAAGATGCTTTGCTTTTTAATGATATGGAGGAGGTAAAACTTTTTATACAAGTATGGGAAAGATGCTGCAGAAACTGTACTTTTCAGAATATGTTGTCTTATGTTTTTGTTACTTATATTAAACTATTCCCCCAATACTGCTTAGACTAGACTACTTCCTGACCTCATAAATGTTTTTAAGTTGTTTTAGTGAAGAAAGTCGCACTAGAAAATTTTTGAGACCTTGCCACCAAAGGGTTGAAAATGAGCAGTACTTCTTTTATATCAGCTGATTTATCATAAAATGGATGGGGAGACCATTCCTGAAATTATCATTGCTTTGGTTTCCTTGGTACCTAAGGCAAAAAAAAGGCCTACTATGGGAAATTGGTCCCAAAGGTTTAAGCAGAATTCCTATTGCCCTTAAGGGAAAATCTTTCTGACCTATCTTTTCTGATTTTTCTTTTTGCCATAGCAAATACAGAGGCAGAGAAGAGTAATGTCTTATTTGAATTCAGCCAAAAATTATATCTTTTTAAGTCTTGTTGTAAGTAAAAAAAATTTTTTTAAATATTTAGTAGTCATTGGAGGTCTCAATGCCTGAATCACAAGATAGATCTGGCCCAGAATAGTGAGGTATGTCTTAGACAGAAATTCCTCTGAAAAAGATCTGGAGATTTTTACTGAATAGTAAGTTCATATTAGTCAACATCATAATATGACAGTTAAGAAAGTAGCTGCAGTAAAGGCATAGCATCCATGAATAAGAATATAATACTCCTGTGGCTATAATCTGCCCTGATCAGACCACATCTAGCATACTGTATTCAGTTCTAGGTGAGGGTAACCTGAAGAGGGCAAGCAGAATAGTCTAATCAAGTCAACAAACATTTATTAAGCACCTACTATGTGTCAGGTGGAGGAATTTCAATCTATATCATAGGAGGATCAGTTAAAGGAACTGGGAATGTTTAGCCTAAAAAGGAGAGTCTTGGGTGGGGGTGAGGGAGGAGGAAGGTACCATAATTGATGGCTTCAAGTATATGGAAGAAAGATTAGATTTATTCTGCTTGGTCCTAAAGTAGCAGAGCTAGGTACAATGATTAGAAGTAACCAAAGGCAAGTTTAGACTTAATATAAATACCCAGTGCTCCAAGCAAGATTAGATATGGAATTTTAGCAAGTGTCTTGAACCCTGCCCCTATTGAAACCTACAACTATTCTGTCCTAGTCTCTGTCTTTTCCTCCTCTATCTTCTCCTTCAATTCATAATTTATGAATCAATCAATCAATCAACTCTTCACTAAGTGCCTATTATGTGCCAAGTATTGTGGATATAAGTACAAATAATCAAACAATCTCTATTTGCCATGAAAACTAATATATACAAAACTCTTGCTAGGCTTTGCAAGGTCATAAAAATTAAATGATACTGTCCCTGATCTCACGGGGTGGTGGGGTGGGGTATAATACCTATACAACTAGCTATGATATGAAATAGGATATGGTTCATTCAAGAGAGATACAAAGGATATCCTAAAAGGATGAGGGAAAGGCTTATTACTGACTCAAACAGGGATTGGGGGAGAAGGTGGTATTTAAAGGAGGAGATGGGTGGGGGGAGTAGATACGCCAGTTATTGAAAAATGTACAACCAAGAGCAAAAAAAAAATAGCAAAAAGTGAAGTGGATAGTATATGAGGAAGAGACAGAGTAGACTGAAATATAGATGACGCGGGGGAGTCATTATGAAGTTGCCTAAGGTCATGAGTTGTAGGCTAAGGAGTCTGGTCATTTTCAGGTAGGTAATAAAGAGCAGAAGCACTTTGAATAGAGGAGTGATAAGATCAGATCTATGCTTCAAGAAGATTGGTCCATTTCTGAACTGACTGTTCACCATGCCCGGACTGCATTTCTTCTGCCACATAAAGTCCCCCTTTTCCTTTATGATGAATCTCAGGTACCATCTTCTTCATGAAGCTTTTCCTGATCCTCCAACTTCTAGCACCCTCTGTCCTAAACTACTCATAGTTAACTTTTTAGGACAAAAATAAAAATCAAACAATCCTATTCTCTATCAGTTCTAATGTTTGTCCATTTGTCTTTGCTTGATATTTACACATTGACTGCAGCACAAACAGAAATTATAGGACCAAGTCCATATCCATGATCATACTTCTTTTTAAAAATGAATTTTCATTAGCATTTATCGTTAGCACTTTCCCAAGATAGCTCATCACTGTTCCACATCTCTTGCTGGCCTCAGGTAAATGATTCCATTACATCCCTTACCAAATAGCAACTCCAACTTCCTTCCTAGACATTAGTATTCAGCCTTGCATTGCAAGGGTTTCAATCTTCTAAATTCTGTGAAAAAAGGACTTTTTTTGAGTTGGAAGCTTTGATGCAAAAGCTCCTGCTTCATTTAGAAACTGCAGACTGTCATTAAACTCATTTGTATGGTCATGTTTGAAAGGAGAAGGCAAATCAAAGAACTAGGATGCTTGACTTACCTTCCTGTCCGTTGTCAATTGCCCCTCTAATAATACAGTTCAATTCCAGGGAAGCTCTTCCTGTGATCCAGCTGTCTTCAATCAGTCCTGTGTTAAGCCTCAGCCACGATATTTAAAATAAGGGTTAGGGGAGCGCTTACAAATGCTTGATGCTTTGACTGATTTTATAGTCAATTCAAAGGACCTTAATAAAACCAGGCCTTTCATCTATGTTCCTAACAGTCTGAGAAAGCTGGGTAAAGAATCCACGAGGAGAGCAAGGGAAGAAAGCAGGTTATTTGTATAAACTAACATGACCTTCTACGAGGGCAGGAAAGAGTCATCCCTGGTGGACTATACAGAGCAGCTGCAAGGAAGCCGACTCTACTTTTGAATCCTTTGCACTGGTCCCCTTCATCCTTCTCATTCTCTTTCTCCCTCACGCCCTTTCTTCTCCACCTCCTTTCTCTCTTTCTTTAGGACGCTTCAGAGAAAAGGCTTCAATACTTCACAAGATTGCCAAGAAGAAGTGCCAGGTGGATGATAATGAAAGGCATAATGGGACCACCAACCATATGGGTGAGTGCAAGAGAACACACTGACTTGTATTTCTCAGGATTCTACTTAAATATTGAATGTAGCCCCAATGTGCAGCAGTGGATATCCGGAACTTTACAAGTGTCACAACTAAGCCTAGGGATATAAGTTTCCATCTGTCTTTGTGTGAGCATGGGGTAGAAGAGTCAAAACATGTCTAAAATATCCTCTGGATAACCCCAAGGGATGCCTAAGGAATCCTGGTAGGAGCCTGAAATGAGATTCCAATTCAATTTCATTCAAGGAGCATTTTTTCTAGCAGTGCCCCATGCCTGGAATGTTCTCCCTCTTCACTTCCACTTCTTGGCCCTCCAGGCTTCAAGTCTCAACTAAAATTCCACCTTCTACAGGAAGCCTTTCCCAACCCCTCTTAATTCTAGTGCCTTCCCTCTTTTGATTATTGTCTATTTATCCTATATAGAGCTTGCTTGTAAATATTGTCCACAATATTTACAAAATTTATAGTGTTTGCATATTTTGTTTGCAAATTTACAATATTTACAAATATAAAATTTACCATATTTACAAAAATTGTTTGCTTGTTGTCTCCCCCATTAGATTGTGAACTCCTTGAGGGCAAAGTCTTTTGACTTTTTGTATCCCTAGTCCAGCTCAGTTCCTGGAGCATAGTATATGCTTAATAAATTTTTATTGACTGACTGATTTACTGAATGCTTACATTGTGGAAGGAATTGTGCTAAGCACTAAGTTTACAAAGACAAAAGCTTAACAGCCCTGCCCTCACGGAGTGTCTACTGAGGGGAAACAAGTATATATGAGTCCAAACAAAATATTTACAAAGTAAATTTAAAGTAATGGGGGGAAGGGGTGCATTACACTCTAGTTTCTGACAACTAACCAAAGACCACAGTGTTTCAGGAAGTCCACATAAGGATAGTTTTCCTCCAGTAGAAATGTATCCACTTAGTTAACAAGGGGACCCTTTCTAAAAGACTTGATGCGGCCCCAGCATTTACTCTGGTGCCATTGCCTAGAGCAAATTCATTGAGTGACAAAGTACCAGCTCATAACAATATGACACACTGTCCCTGCTCATCCCCACTCCTTTCTGATGAATTCAGCAATATCACCACACATCTATTTCAGTCTCTTTTAGCTGTGCATCGTGTGGTAACCAGATCATGACATCCCAGCATTTTATTTTAACTGGGAACGTAATGTTCCTATTCTTATAACTGTAATGCTAACATAGCTCTCGAATTCTAAATTCAAACTAAATTTATCCCAATCTCTATTTGTTTTATAAACTATCCTGTTACTAAAATTGTCATAAACAAAATGGGATACTGCTGTACTTTTAGTTCTGTACATTTATTAGGGGAGGTATACTTTCAGTGATTGTACTGGCTTCTCATTCAGATTAAATCTTTGTTCTTTCACCAAGGATCAGTCTAGTAATTGTTAAGTAAATTGTTAAGTAATTGTTTTTGTTAATTGTTAAGAAAATACCGATACTGGCATATACCAGTAGCCAAAAGAGTTAAATCTTATTAAATTACCCAGAAAAAAGGTTCTTTAAATAAACTTGGCTTTTCACTATGTCACTGACCTCTAGGCTTTCACCTTCTACTGAAATCCAAGACTGCAGTGGCAGCATGGTTACAGGGAAGATGTATTTGACTAATGATCAGAAGGCCTGGGACCATCTTTTTTCCTCTCAGCATCACGCTGCATTTGCAAAACAGACTGTTGGTACACAGAGTTAAGTGTTACTGCTCTATAAGTCCATTAACATAAATAAAATTCAAGGTTACAGAATTGTCATACTTAAAAATGGGCCCTGCTGATTTCCAGACAACCTGGAATGATTGTTCCCCTAGAACTCTGGAACAAACTTTGGGGTCAAAGTCAATGGCTATTAGACTTACAGTGACCCTCAATGATGCACTGGATTAAAAGTAAATAATGTATTTCCTATCCAAGGTGGAGCTTTCCATTCTCATATAAGCTGTTTCTGTATCTATTACTTACACAAAATTCCCCCTTGTCTTGATTTGAATTAGTCATACTTATGTGGTATGGACAAACTAATTATCCTAGAAGGTATTCAGAGAAGAGTTTGTTTTTCTAAGCCAACCTTTGTGAGAAGCTTCAGAAAGCCATCTACACATTTGGTCAGCATTATTCTTAATTATCCTTTTGGCCTTAAGCATTCTTCTTCCCTTTGGGGGAAAGAGTGGGAAAGAAATCTTCAGGGGAAGGGTAGAAGAGGGTCATTTATAAATTAAGTGAAGCTTCCTGTATAAACCATTCTTAAATGGCTCCTTGGTACCATGACAAAGATTTTACCTGAACTAGAAAATGGTATAACTTATAGGTGGAGTAAATAAATACCTACCTTAATACATGTGAAATGCAGTATTTCACAGGCAGATCAGAATGCATCAGAAGCAGGACACTCCCCTGAAGGGCCCCAAATAGCCAGAGCAGCAAGAGTGCACATTCAGAATATGTCAGAAGACAGAGAATACTAAAAAATAAATAGGAAAGATGAAATCCTGGCATTTTAAAAAAATTTTTTCACCTATTATCATTGGCTCCTACCAGCCCCCAGAGACCACCAATTCTACCAATAAAACTTTTTTCTCTTTCTCCAATAATCCTACTTCTCTTTCTGAATTCCTTCATTCTGTCAGTGAAACCACTATTCACCCAATCAACCATTTTAAAAACATATTGTTTCCCTTTCCCTCATCCTCCATTCATTGATTATCTTTATTCTTTGTGTATGTGTGTGTGCATGCATGTGTTTCCATTTGTGAATGATATCACAGAAAAAATAGAGCTCCCAAACAGTACAAGTGTTGAAGTGGAAGTATCACCACCCAGTGAAGGTTCAGGACCTGTACAAAATGGAAATCTCTCCCACGGCATTGAACCAACAGAAATACAGGTACGTCTCTCTTTTTCTACTTCTCTTATAACTCTTCAATTTGAAGTCATATCATAGAATTATAGGATTTTATTTCTTCTAGACTAAGTTAATGGTCATCCCATCTTTTACCTACCTTCCCAAAGTTGGTACAAAATTATTGAATATAAATTTAATTCTTTGTCCACCTGTCGTTAGTGAAAATGTTAAACCAGGCTGAGCCCCTATCCAACTGATAGGAGAAAGTCATTTGTTCTTTCTCCCCTCTCACCCTTTTCTCCACACATGTTGGTTGAAATTAACTACCATGTTCTGGTCCCATTCTCCAGTTAGGTTGCCAACTATCTAATCATTGTTTCATCTAGATGGTATGGTTGAAAAGTAGACATGTTTAACATTTTTAAAAAGCCTTATTAAAATGAAGATTGGAAGGCTACATGGTACATTCTAAAGAGCACTAGAGTCAGAGTCAGAAGACCAGGGGTTCAGATTCCAGATGCAGGAAATACTATCCGTGGACATGTCACCAAACCTCTCTGGGCCTTACTTTTCTGATCTGGAACAATGGGCACACTCACAGTTGTTGTGAGAAAGGCACTTTGAAAAACTATAAAATGACATACAGTTTTAATATAATTATCATTATCGTTATATTATTGTTACTATTACATCTGTGGCTTCTGTCTGAATCTACTAGGCTTAAAGTGTTTCCTGGAGGACTAGATTATAGGAGCATGGATACATCTTCACAAAGTTATGCTAATGGTAATATAGCACCCGATTTGCTTGACAGTATTTACATAAAATCCTCTTTCCAAACTGAAAGGACTCCAGAGAATGTTTTAAGTAGCACTCCTGACTCCTCCACCATCATTTACTTCTGGCCCTGAGTCCTGTTGTCCTATTATAACCAACTCAAGATCTGAGTTGGCAGAATTATTTGTGCCCACATGGATGAGCAGTATGGGGCAGGAATCAGGGAACTCGAGGTCTATTAGTAATGCCTCTCATTTAGACCTTCGGCAGGCAGCCCACCCCCTGGAACACTGTGGTTCCATAGCAGATGGCAGCCTTTTTTCCTATCAGGAAACAGTCTACTGCTGTAAGAAGAAGCTAATACTCTGACCTTCCCTTTCCTGGGCTGAATTACTTTAGGAAAATTTCCAATTCTTAACCCAAGTTTTTTCATCCACAATTGAGGGGGTAAGACTAGATGATCTCTATTGTCCCTTTCATCTCTAAATCTATGACCCTATGGTCCTAAGAATTTAAAGAATCAGGGAAGAGAATATGGGTGTACCAGTCTGTGGAATTGTCGACACAAGAGGCAAGATGTTGTTCAACCAAGGTCCCAACTGCCAAGAGCCAGGAACCCTAGATGTTAATCTCAGCTCAGCCATTGACTCACTAGGGGAAAGTTATTTAATCTCTTTGGTTTTGCCTCTTCTTGAAAATGAGAGAGTTGTATTGGCTGACTTCTAAGTTCCCTCCCATCTCTGACATCCTTTGATTTTATGAATAACTCTGAAAGTAATTTTGAAAATGTAAAGTTCTCTGAGAATGTACGATAACATTGCTAATGGTACTATTTCATTTGCTCTTCTGTCAGTGTCATTCTACCATCTTCTGAAGTCCCCACAATACCTAGAAAAATAACTTACACATAGCGGACTTTCATTGTTTAACTTATTTGAATATGGTCAGTTTCACAAAGTCAGGTAGACTTTCCCAGATCAGTCAGTCAACAAGCATTTATTGAGCACTTACCGTATGCCAGGCACTGCGCTAAGCACTAGGGACTACAAAGAAAAGCAAAAATACAATCCCTACTCCCAAGGAGTTCACATTCTAATGAGGAAAAAGACAGACAAACAATTACGTACATATCATCACAATATAAATGGAAAATTATCTCAGAGGGAAGGGGGAAAGGGGGGAGGCAAAAGGGACCAGGAAAGACCTCTTGCAGAAAGTGGGGTTTAAGTTGAGTCTGGAAGGAAACCTGGGAAGCCAGGAGGCAAAGGTGAGGAGAGAGAATTCCAGGCGTGAGGGATAGCCAGTGAAAGGGCCCTGAATTAGGAGATGGAATGCCCTGTTTGAGCAACAGATAGAGTAATGGAAATTCAGACTAGGAGTCATGAGACTAGAATCCCGAGGCCATACAATGCAAAGTTTCACAAAGAATAAGTCATGTTTACTACATTGGTTATATTATCTTCTTGCTGACAAAAATCACAGGCTTGAGATATTTCTTTGAGCATTTTTTTAATCTAGATAGGAGAATGAGGTATAGAGTACTGACTTCGTTAATGGGGATCGCATGCCTGGCACATTCTATGTAATCGTAGTTATTCTCTATATACAAGATAGACTATTCTTTTTTTTTCATTTTCAAATTCTCTACCTCCCTCCATCTCCTTCCATACCCATTGAGAAGGCAAGAAAAACAATATCTGTTTCATGCATGAAGTCATGCAAAACATATTTTCACACTAGCCAAAGTACAAAAAAAAGGTAAAAAAATATATAAACAAAAAAACTATACTTCAATCTACACACAGAGTCCATCAGTTCTCTCTCTGCAGGTGGATAGCACTTTTCATCATGAGTCGTTTGGAATTGTAGATCTTCATATTGATGAGATAGCTAAGTCCTTCACAGCTGATTATCACTGTAACATTGCTGTTCATTTGTACAATATTCTCCTGTTCTGCTCACTTTACTTTGCATCAGCTCATACAAATCTTTCCAGGTTTTTCTGAAACCATCCCCCATATCGTTTCTTACAGCATAATAGTATCCCATCACAATAATGTACCATAACTTATTCAGCTATTCCCCAATTCATAGGCATCCCCTCAGTTTCTAATTCTTTACCACAACAAAAAGAGTTGCTATAAATATTTTTGTATATGGGGGTCCTTTCCCTTTTCTTTCATCTTTTTGGGATACAGACCTAGTAGTGGTATTGCTGGGTCAAAGGGTATACACACTTTGATAGCCTTTGGGCATAGTTCCAAATTGTTCTCTATAATGGTTGGACCAGCTCTCAACTCTACCAATAATGTATTAAGTATGCTTATTTTTCCACATCCCCTCTAGCATTTGTCATTTTCCTTTCCTATAATGTTAGCCAATTTGACAGGTGGTACCTCAGAGTTGTTTTAATGTGCATTTCTCTAATTATTAATGATTTAGGGCATTTCTTCATATGCCTATTGATAGCTTTGATTTCTCCTTCTGAAAATTTCCTCTTCACATAGGATGGACTATTCTCCGTAGAGTCCATCCCATATAATTAATATGGTATTTTAAAGAACACATTTATAATTGAAATAATTGAATATTAACACCTTATCTCCTAGAACTCTCTTCAGCACACACCTTCAATAGGTAATAAAATCATTTTTTAAAAAAATCCAGTTTGAGACAAGCCTCTTTTGGGTGGGCCTTTTGGTTTTATATCTTACATGCTGTAAAGCTTAGAAATTATCTGATTTTTAAATTACTCGGTGCTAATTAGCTCCTGCTAATTGCTCTGCTGATGTGATCCATTTGATTATAGCAGACGCAGCTGAGTTCAGCTACACCTAGGAATAAACCAACTTTACCAAATAGACTCTGCCCTGTTGATGATTCAGACAGAGAAATCTCAAAGAACTGCTCTCTTTCGGACGGAAACTCACCATTTTCTTGCATTTTAAAATGACGGCTCTAGTCAGCTGCCAGGCTAGTCCATGTGCATTCATGCATATGAACCAATCTTGTTAAAGGACCTGCAGAGCACTGAAATCATAGAACATCACTCCCTGCCATTTTGGTGTATAATGAAAACATTTAAACGTACATGGACTTAAAGGGAGCGAGGGGAGAGACTAAAGAAAGTAAAATTTCCCTCAAATTCTTTGAAATCTGACAAAAACCTAGCTTTTGAAAAATTCTACTCTACTCCTTAAGGTGAGGTTTTCCTTTAGAGTTATGGGTGTGTGTATATTTTGGTTATATTTGTTTCATTTTGCCTTTGAGATTCCTCTTTGTCCCTAGGGAAAACAGAGTTTCCTTGCTTTCTTCTGTAAACAGTTGCCTACACATACCTCCAGCATCCATCCAGAGACCCCCACGGGAGGACAGAGGTTATAGAAGCCAATCACTTTTCTAGGAAAAGGAAAAAAAAGTTTGTCTAGATAAATTATCGAATTTAAGAGTTGGAAGGCACTTTAGAGGTGATCTAGTCTGGCCTCTTTGATAGCTTTTTCCTTCTTTTCTTTATTTTAACATCACATATTACCTTTCCAGTGTTCAGCACTTCTGATTGCCCTTTGGGAGTTTATTTCCTTATTTATTCCCTTCTAGCATTAGACTTTCTAAACGAAGTACAGTTTCTAAACTCTCTCTTCGTGGGAAAAAAAAAAGCCTCCCAGCAGCTGGGATTCTTCCTATAGGTGACCCTCAGTTATATGAAGATTGACTGTATTACTTGCATTTTTAGCTGCTTTGAACATTGTGAATAAATAAAAGGTAGAGAGCCAGGGCTCTAGGGAGTGAAAGATTTGAAAAACTATCACATGCACTTGATGAGACAGTCCAAGAAAGGGCAAAAATAAAGTGCATAAAAGTAATTTCCCTACTGTTAGATAGGAGTCTCTGAGAAAAATCGCATTATTATAAAGGACAACTCTCAAAATAGGCTATGAGAGAAAGAGATGCTCAAGTGAGTTTTTCTATTAATATTGATACACAGTCTTAAATTGATATACTAACTTTCTTTTCTTCTGTATTTATCCATGAAAAGGTTTTACATTCCAAATCTGGGACACAAAAATAGTTTCCTCCTTCCTCCTTCCCTTACCCCTACCCCAACCCACCCCAGCCATTCAAAGAGTAGATTTTCTTCTGTAAATGACTGTGGAGGAATGGCCCTAAGGTTTTTTTAATCCCTTCAGTTAAATTGGTTATCCGATCTCTTGGGCCATCAAGGCTTGAAGAATTTAATCGTGAGCCATCAGCCTCACAGAATTTAG